CGTGTCGAGGTACCCCGTGAAGCCATACACAGCCTCGTGGTCGGCGCCGCACGCCAATGGCTTCAAGGCTGCGTCGACCTTGTTTGTGATCTTGGCATTGCAGTCTTCACCGCCCCAGTTGCAGTTTTTGCCGTCGGTCGCCATGCACTCGACGTCGCCGTCGTCGTTGATGCGCATCGGACTTGAGAAACCGGGCACGCACGTCCAGTCCTTGCCCTTGCCTTCGACAAAGTCCTTCTTTGTATCCGCAAAGAACTGCGTGCACTTGTCGTACAAGTTGACCTTGGCCGTGCCGTCGTCCGGGGATTCGCCATAGACCGTCTCGCCGTACTCGTGCGTGTTGTATGCGTCTTGCTCGGTCTTGGCAAAGTGGAAGAGCACCGTGCTGATGTCAGTACCGTCTTTCGCGTCCAACTGGTACTCGGGCAGCGTCACGGCGCAGACGTCGACCGACGTCACTTGGTTTGTAAAATCATACTCGGTGTTGACTGTCTGGACGAACTGCGTCGACTGCTCCATGACGCTGAGGAGGACGTCGGTGATCGCCTTGTCGATGCCACGCTCGTTCGAGACACCGAATCGGTGCTGCATCGACGTCACGACGGTGTTGAACGCTAGCTGGCCGTACGTCTTGAGGAACTGCGCAAGGTTCCAGCCGTCCGCGGTCTCGAGACCCCACTCGCACTTGCCGTTGTTGAGCGCCTTGTCGAGGCACACGAGGTCGCGCTTGGGTAGCACGGACGACGTCGCACACCCGTCGAGGTAGCTGAGGAACCCCTTGATGACGCAGTCGGCGTGGTTGCGCGTGCTCGCGAGCGCCAGTTTGATGGTCGTGAACGACCACTGGTCAAACTGAGGGGTGACGTCCAGCGCCGTGTTGACGTCGCGGAGCAGCTTGTTGTACACGAGGAGCGAGTCGGCCAGCGCCGCGTCCGTGCACGTGTCTGCCGAGCATTTGACGTAGCCGTTGTCGTACGACTTGGTCGTTGTCGTCGCCAAGTCGGAGCAGAGACCCGTGATGAACGACGACGTGCACTGCTTGATGCGCGCGGCGCTCATGCAGTCGGCGCGCGACGCCGACGAGATGATGCAGCTCTCGAGCGCGTTCTCGGCCTTGCAGATCTTAAGGTTGTCGTAGAACCGGTGGAAGCGGTCTTCGTCCGAGATCGGCGTCGGGTCGTAGTCGCCATAGCCGTTGTCGTTGCCGTAGCCGTTGTTGTTGCCGTAGCCGTTGTCCTTGCCGTAACCAGTGCTCGGCTGCTTGTTATAACCTTGGCTAGGCTGCTTGTAGCGGTTGTCATAGCCGTAGCCAGCGTCGGGCTGCTTCTTGTATCCAGTAGCGGGCTTGTTGTAGGCGCCGTTGTAGCCGCCGTCGTAGCCGCCGTCGTAGCCGCCGTCGTAGCCGTCGTTATCGCCGTAGCTGGGCTTTGCGTAGCCGCCTTTGTTCCCGTAGCTGGGCTGCTTGCCGTATCCAGCTTGGTTGTTGGCGGGCTGATTCTTGTACGCAGGCTCCGATGGAGGCTGGTACTTGCCGTACGCAGGCTGCTGGCCGTACGTGGCGGCTCCGTTGTACTGCTGGCCCGTGGCAACCGTTGCGGCCGCCAAGCCAAGGACAAACACCTTCATCGCGAAACAAGATGGTACTGCGAGGGTGAGCTCGAGTGCAGTAGTTGAATACTGACGCCCTGTTCCGTGCTCGGGCTTGGATCGGGTGCAAAACTTTGGCACCAATCAGAGGCGACATCAAATATTCGGGGCCAATCCCGCGCGCGACGGCTCTTGGGCGCCTTTTCCAAAGGGCGCGACGGTTCGGGAAACGTCGCGAGCCAATCACGTACGACGGCTTTTCCCGCAAGGCAGCAACTCCGGATGAGCGCAGAGACCGCTTGGGCCTCCGTGTATCTTGGTCAGGAGGTTTCGGGTGTTATCAACGAGCAATTTGAGTTAAGCTGTCGAGGCTGCATAGTCAGACTACATTCAAGTGCCAATGCTAGGCAAGACGCAAT